GTCAACAATAACATTACTGAAGGATGATCATTTCACCAATTGAAGTAACAGAAAATAAATCCCATTATTCTCAGTGTCTGGGGAAAAAGTGCACAGTTTAACATTCTGGATTGTATGTAGAAATAAGTACCTCAAAATCACAATAAAGAGGTTGCACACAATTGTGTTGATCTGTTGACCAACCCACCTTTGTCAGATACTTTACAAAACAGTTTCAGGAGCACAAGAACTTTCCATGAAAATATCTACAAATGTAAACTTAAGAGTAGATAGTGAAAATCTTTGTAAAAATATGGTATAGTATAAAATACTAGCAAAAACCTAACAGTAATGCTAGAGCACAATCTGTGAAGAAAATAAAATGTATACTACTGGCATGATGTTTCCTTCTTCAAATATATATAAACTAATTGGTGAAGTCTGAGACAAAACAATACATTCTTTTCAAATTTTGAATTCACTGTTAAAAGCTGAGAATGAAGAGGCCTCTTGATTTAAAACATGTACTTATACTTGCCATAGTGGTGGCATTGTGGCCATGGTGATGATCTAAGAACATCAATAAAGCAACCTCTGCAGGGAGAGTTAATGCTTTTTATTAGATCATATGAGAGGGCGGGAAAAGTTTGGGGCATGTTTAGATCTTCTTGTCTGATTTTCCTAGTATACTAGTTGGTCTAACAAGCTATTATCTCCCTGTGTAAGCTTTGTCTGATTATTTAAATCAGTCAAACAAAAACAGGTACCCACTTAAAAACTCCTTATTAAGTCCAAAGAGCATTTAGGGGGAGTTTTGCCACCCACGGATGCCAAAACTAATATCCAGCAGAGACATGTCATCCATTAGTACAAAAACCTCATACCAAAGAGATGTGCTGTATGCTTTCAAATAGCAGATGAAATGCAAAAAGAAGTTGATTCAGTAGAATTAACAAAACAGGAAAAAAAACCAAGCATTATTATCTATAATAACACCTAATAATACTACATTATTAGTGGTTATAATTAAGATGGAACATTCTAACAAAAGCCCTCACACTGATTTTTGAAAAGAATACATGATACATTCCAACTTTGAAAACATTACTAAACTCTAGAAATTTGACACAACAAATGTTGTTTATAATATACAATATAGCTTTAAGCTTTCCAAAACAGGATGAGAACAGAAGAAATGCTGCAACAGCCATCTCTTCTTGTCATGATACTTAGTTCAAAGAATTAAACCATCTTTAATTTTAAAAATATCTCTGCATTAAATGATTATTTAACAATACTTACAGAATTTGACACTTGTTTCCCTAAGAGATTATGTCTCTCATTATACTACTCTGCCCTAATTTCAGCCACAGAGAAATACAAAATGTACAAGTACCAAAATTATTTTCAGGAAAAAACAGATTTGAATGTTCTTCTTGGTGAGGAGGAACCTAAATTTTTTAACTTCAAGAAAATACTGCAAGGTTCCCCCTCTTTTACAGACTTCAAGAAAAATTAAAAGATGAGTGGAATGGGCTACAGTTGAAAGTGTTACCAAAACTGTTGATGAATAGAAGAATTACAATTACTGTGCTTAGGATAAATTTTTACATACATAGTGTTCTACTGTCTGCAGTGTCACAGAGACACCTTTAACTTGTTTATAAATTTACAAACATCTTTTCCACAGTAGAATTGTGCAAGAGGATGAGAGTAGTGGCATTTACCTACAGGAAAGAAAAGTGGGAAGAAAGACAGGATCATGCCCTCTCATTAAGCCAAATATTGAATAATCATAAGGTCCTTTTAGCTTAAGTTACACCTTGAAAAGATGAATCAGCAAATATGCTAAGAAGTAAAATTGGTGCAAATCACAGAATGTTAACATGGCTTTTAATGGTCACTACTTCATAACAACAAATTTTTCACACAGGAAAAGTTATTGCTAGATAAAAGATAAGTCTGATCTTAACAAAACCAGGTTTCTTGTAATTAATTAAAGAAAATTTTCTAAATACATTTCTTGTGAATATAACATAACTAGGGCACATCCTAGACATGCTTATTTTCTGAATTCTGTTCCAATTTAAAGACTAATTAATCATAATCAGACCTGCTGTGAACAAGGACAATTTCCACAGTTCAGAAATAAAATTGTGCATTTTCTGCTGTGTGAGACATTCTCCCTACCACAATTATAGCACAACTGCACCATTAATTTTGCACTCTCATGCCATCTTAACCCCTGCATTTTTAAAAAAATCTAGTGCACAGTTTCTATCAGTAAAAACACCAGCTAGACATTAATCCTACAAACTTGTCTGTTTTTTTCTATGTATAATACAGCTTCTGCAGGTAAGAGGAAAATCCTTAAGGAGGGGCAACTATACTAGTAATTCTAATCTTAAACGTTCTGTCTGTGCACATATAGCCAGAAGTAATCTAACAAGTTAAAACAAAAAGTGACATTTATTCATGAAATAATGTTTTTATTTATTAAAATATCTATGAATATGCTGTATTGTTTGACAGATACTTTTAAAAATAAATAAATAACAAATTTCAAAGAAATCACGCCACCTTATGGCAGCAGTCAGCAACACTGACAGCTGGTGTTTCACACACTGCTCATACATCATCAAAGAAATCCAAATACAGCCTTTTTAGACCTGTAAGCAATGAGCAGTGTTCATCAAATGCCCATAAAAGAAACTCCATGGAACCTACTTACACTGCTCAATTTAGAAGATTAATTTGGATGCCAGCAGGAATCAAACCCACAAGCTCAGAGAAGCATATTAACTTCCAAATTTCATGTTTGGATTATTACCTTATCCAGTCTGCTAAGACAACTGAAAAGAACACAAAAGCAAGCAAGTAGCCTATACAATACACTCATGGTCATTATTCCAAAGGTGGAGTCTCTAAGAATTTCCTGCTATTGTTATTTCCTCTTCCACCAACCCTAAATAGACGCCCTGAAATAAACTAAACATGTACTAACAACATTATGTTCCACTACACAAAGTGTTAGAGTACTTGGGACAAGTGCTGAAGCAGCAGTGTTGAATTTTGAACCAAAATTAAAACACCTCAACATTATTTTATTTTGACATACAAAGCTTTTTAAATTCTTCTCTGGATTGCTGTTTCTCCTGGTGGCTGGGATATCTAAGATATCATTCTCTTACAGCAAGCACAGCAAAAAAAAAGATTTCAAAGTGAAAAGAAGTAGCTGGACAGAGAACAGTCCACACCCACATAGCTACATGTAGTAAGGGCATTCATCCAAACACAGATTTGAATTCAGACCATTCCTTTGTCCAGTTCATATTGTGACCTGGAATGAAAGTTTCCCCTTCCAAAGTAACATAGCAATGATGAGAACATTGGGACATAGATTGACTCAATCCCTCCTGTTGGTGCTACTCTGTTTACAGACACTAATGAATTCCAACTAGGACATAATGAGATGAAAAAGGGACTTTTTAGGCCAATAACTATCATATCTTTCTGAAATTAATGGAAAGTCCCAAGTGCCTGTTTTAATGAATACTTACGTAATGTGAAACAGCTCCAACAACAGAAATAAAATTTTATTTTTTATGTTTAAAACACTCAAAACATGAGATGTGCAAAAAACCTGTAAGAAATTTCAGTCTGTAAGACTGTGGAAAGAACCATGTTTTTCCTGTTGCATGTGAATTACTAGCACTAGATTCTTTGGTATTCTGAGAGAATTCACTCTTACTGCAATCAGAAATTCTGTCAAAACTGGATATATATAACAACAAACTTTTTGAAATTAGAAGAACCACCATTTTCTGATTAAGAAAGATGTAGCTAGATGGTTCCTAAACCCCTTTATCCAGAAGTTCTTGTTGTGTTTAAGTTATGCAGTTACTGTATTAAAGTTATGAGTACATAGAAATTAAGTATTTTCTATAACTAGAAAAAAAGCAAGACACTTAAAAGCTTCAGAGAAAACAGACCGCTATGAAATACAGAAAAATAGAAAAACATCTGAGAAATAAGTAATTACAGTTCCTACCTGCATTCCCTAAGCATGCCAGAAGCTCCTCCATATATTCTGCTCCCTCAACATCCACTGCACTGAGCTCCCTTCTCCTTTAGTTCAGAGTGAAATGCTGCTCTTCCTACATTTTCCCACAGCAGAAAACTCAGAGTCTCCTTCTTCCCTCCTCCCATCTCAAACGCTTTTTAAACACCTCCTTCCCATTTGGAGGGCTCAGTGTGCCACATTCCCTCCGTGCTGAAGTGGTGCAGTTTGCATTGCATGGCTCTTGTGCCAAGAGCTCTGCACAGATCTTTGGTTCTCCCCAAACACCAGCCTTCCTCCAAATGAGCATGCTAAAGGGCTAAGGGAAGAATCTCTGCATTCAGCTTCACATCACTGTGGGTCGGGTTTTCCTGAGGAGGCACACTAGGAGTGAAGATATAATGAAGCCATATTCCCACAGTAGAACAGGAGGATGGCTTTTCATTCCTAGTTTTCTCCAAAGTCAATATGGTTTTGAGAACCAGACATCAGCTGATGCTAAACCAGATGTAAAATAGCATAATATTACACTTAAAATGAGCCAAAATCACCAAGTTGATTAGGAATTCCCTTTTCTCAACTGCTATCAAAATTCATCAGCTGAACAAAAACCAGAATATGATGAAAATTTGATTTTTCTATATATCATGATATACTAATTTCTGAGATATTATGAACCTTTTGATCAGCAAAAGTGTATTGTTTGGATTTACAGGACCAACTGTGATATGAAAAATAAAGTCAGAATTCCACACAGAAAGAATGGCCACAACGTAACCTACTAAAGAAATATTGAAAAAGGTTGATACCTGAAATCTGTATTCCCCTCACACAAATGTCATATGACGGTAAGTTACTTTATTAGACTAATACATTACTACCTTTCTTTCAGCAATTATCAGCATTATCTACTACAAGTTCTCTACGACTCACTTCTAAATTGTAAGTGAAAGTTAATTACCTCGAGGTCATCCAGAGAGCGAGTAATACTAAATCGCTTAGATCTTCCAAATGATCTTCGAGCAGAAGAACGTGGAGGAGCAGCCTGATTTAATCCCATTGAATGTCCAAATTTTGCACCCTAAAAAAACCCAGAAAATATATATTAATTTATTTCTTTAATTTTAGTACATTGCTGATCATAGTGAGATCTGAATTTTAAGGAAATGTAACAGGACCACAATTTCAAAACAAGTTGGTCATTTGCTATGCCCCTGTAAAATCACATACTCAAATTCATTAAAGTTGACTTTTCCAGTCTCAAAATAAATATCTTAAACATTCAGCATTAATTTACTGTATTAACATGAGTGATCAGTTAGGTTGCACACAATACATGTCAGTAATAAAAGCAAGATGATCCTGGCTCTTTCCTGTCTTAACTGAAAACCATTTAACTACAAAATATTTGTGTTTTCTATAGGAAATTACCATCCTAGAAATCATCTTACCCAGCTTCTCTTGGAACTTTTCTCCACATTTTTAAAAATCTTACTTTCACTACTCTTTTTTTTTTTAAAGCCTTGCTACTGCAAAGTCCAACTTTTGAAATCACACAGTACAAAATTGCAGGAACTTTTGTTCTGAGGAAAGCAACTCCCTCACTTGGATGTTCCATTACTAGAACTGGTGCTGCAGTAATTAAATCTGTTTTCTCTTGTGCCCATAATCATACTCTTTCTCCCTAAAAAGTCACCAGATGTCTGTTAAGCTACTCAGCATATACATATCAAGTTTATTCCAAATGGCAAAGTGTAAGCTTGAACCTAAAATTAGGCACAGTCAGTGACTGGTGCTAAGCAGATGTACATAAACTCACTACATTACAAAACCTTGTGATTATGTGCCTGAAATTTTGGATTCCTTTCACTGTAACATTCAATGTGGGGAAAATTCCTCCCTGTCTACTGACGCTTTTTTGCTTTAGAAAATAAAAGATTTTAAATCAGAGCAAATCCCCCTCTGTTTCATGTCAGCATCTTTCTTCATTATAGTAAGCTTAAAAATATGTTTATTAGTACTTTTATAATTGCTCATTTGGCAGATTTGTAATATTTATTAAATTTTCTATTTGTGTTCATTTCTTCCTTAAGGCAAGTTTCTGTGCTCTGAGTTCTGAAATATTTTGGTCTCCCTTTGATCACTCATTGGAAAGTCTATAGACATCTCATTAATCAAAAGAACAACCACAAATTTCACATCCTCATAGCCTCATGCCAACAACCACTCACACAAAGCAGAGAAGAGCAGCCAGAGCATTGTACAGCCTCGGAGATGTCTGCCTGTTTGCTAATTCCCATGGAGACAACACTGTTCTAAAGAACTGGGCTCTGGCCATCACCAGCGCTCTCAACAGATTCTGTTTACAAGCTCAAAGAATTGTCAAGACAAAACAGGAATCTGGATCAAAGTATGCAGCAGGGTTCATCCCCTCAACAGGCTTGAGAGTTCAACTTCATTCAGTATTAAAAGTGATCCCTTTCTCTATGAAATCTCTTTCCCTCCCAATTTTCTATTTACTAAGGGTTTGGTTTGGTTTTGTTTTTTTTAATTGGCTGAGAAGTAAATTCGGCAGGTTCTGCCACAGCAACCTGAAAATCTAGTAGCTGGATCTTAGCTTCCAAGGTTTTAAGAGAGTATTTACAAGTGCAGTATAAACAAGCTAAGGTGGCTTTTGCTAAATGATCAAATAAATGTGAAGAGAGGAAAATTGCTCTCTGTAAATGTTGACAAGCAACACCCAGTGGAATGAGGACAGTTCCTGTCTTTTTGAGCATCTTTTTGAGCAACTTTTACAATCATCAGTTCATTCAGGCAGGTAGTGCTGAGGTGGTTCACAGCTGCCTCATCCCTTACAGCCACACCAGCCTTTCCTGTTGGATGGAAAGCTTACACCTAATCTGTGCCACACAGTGAACTTCACCTCAACCCCTGACTAAACTCAGCTCTATCCATTACTGTTGCTGCACAGTTGATCAAAACATCAACAAGGCTCCTCCTGTATGAATTTTCCTGTTAGAACATGAATACACATGTACATCTACTCAATTTCACCACTAGTCAAGCATAACTACACTAATTCTGTGATTTTTTTCATTTTTAATCCAAGAATTAGTGATAAAACTATCAGACTAGCAACTACTCAGCAAATTAATGGCATCATTAATTGGTACTTTGAAACTAATGAAACAGTTACACAGTATGGATGCTTAATGGTCTTTGATGTGTTTCTTAAAAGTAGATGGATGCCCTGAGAGAACTTCAGCTTTCATTGAAAATAAAAGGGTGAAAGAAAAAAAATGAAAAACTATCAGTAGCAGACATATCTGTTCAGAATAACAAATACATTTTCATTTTTCATTCTATTTCATCCCCAAAAAAGAATATAAATGGTCCAGTATTTATTTAAATAGTACAGACTACCATATATGATGCTGGGAGATTAAGAACATGCACTCAAAAAATTTTTGAAACACTAACATTACAAATTGAAGGAAGAGGAACCAACTGCCTAAAGACAAATCTAATTAGATTCCACTGAGAAGCAGACTCTAGATAAGATTCATTATCACCAGATGCCCCATTTTGGAAATAATTACCTATTTGAGCTGCTTACCTATTTGTGGTCAGAAGCATAACAAAGAGAAAGAGGGAGAGCGGACAAAAACAACTTGTAAATTGTGTGGTAATAGAAAAGAGAAAGTAAATTAGTATCCAATCAAAGTTTATATTTGTGGGTTTTTATATTTTTATGCAAAACTGACTACTGAGCCCTGGGTGGAACAGTAAAGATAAGAACAGGTTAAGAAAAGAGACTCTGGGAATAAAACAATGCTTAAGTAATGATTACAAACTATAAAAATGCACTGAGCTAACCATTTCCCCAATCCATCTGGATAACAATTGCAATTAAGAAAATATTTTCAACTGACAAAAAACTCTTCCTTCCTCTGAAAAATCAAATTAATCATCTAGGAATTAAGGAGACCATTATTAAAAACCCCAAAAAGACTACAATTCACAGGTCTGGGAAGTCTCCCTTTTCATCTTTTCTTGACTCTATTCCAGACGTTCAGACTATGAGGCCAGACCTCCCCCTCCAGATCAATTAAAAAATGGCTGTGCATACACACATGCACACAAAGAAGGATAGAATCACATATCTAAAGCAAACAGCACCATTTTGGCAAATGTTTTTCATGGGACTCTGAAGAGCTGGAAATAAAAGCATCCATGACTTGAACAGAAAACAGCCATTGAAACTAGAATGTACTAACCAGCATGGCTAAAAAAATCCACAGTATTTGAACACAGAGAAATTGTTAGTGCAATGACGGATATTAATGTCAATTCTGCAGTCTGTTAGACATAAAGAAATCACTGTAGTTCTAAAAGCCTTTATTTCACTATTAAACAAATATTAAAAACCACTGAATTGTCCACAAACAATTTCAGAGCAATAAATGTATTACCAAAAAAATGGCCAGCTTGGAGCAACCTGGTCCAGTGAAAGGTGTCCCTGCCCATGGCAGGGGGCTTGGAACAAGACAATCTTAATGTCCCTTCCAACCCAAACCACTCTATGAAAGATATGCTGTTACATTCTCTGTTAGCTGCCAAGCTAAAACACTGACATTTGCTGCATGAACATTAGCCTGTAGGGTTGTTTGGGTTTTTTGTTTTAAATACAGATTGCCTAGAAGCCCTAGAATTGTTTATTATGCTACCTTAAATATTCTCTTCCAAAAATAGTGTTGCTAAATCTATGAAACTCTAAAAATATCTAAATAGTCAAGAAAATCTAAGAAATTCTATCAGAGAACAGAATTAGAAACTGAAGTCCACCTGACATTTTACTAAGTGCTTTCACCTTAGAACTTTTAGGAATCCAGAAGCCTACCAAAAAGAACAGAAATTTGTGAAAACAAATTGATCAGTGAAAAGCATGTGCCACAGCAATACATCCTCTCCTATTTGCAATGCAGATACTTGCCACCCTGCTACTACTATCTATCACGGTGAAAGTATAAAAGAACATATCTCTAAGAGCCTTTATCCTGTTATAATTTGGCAGATGGAGAGGAAAAACAACATAGGATTAAAGGAATTAAAGTACTGATGGCTCTAAAAAAATCCATTCCTTTTTCTACTCTTATAAAAAAAAAGTAAAAATTAGAATGGATTGAAATACAAGTTATATGTATAATATAAGAGGAAAAGGACAATTAATGGGGTCCGTGTCCTTTATTTTATTTTTTTGATAAATTACCCTTTTTTTTATGGCTAATAGGAAATGGCAAGTGCAAATATGACAATGAGAGCACTGAAAACAGGTCACCAGGGGAGGACTGATACAGCAGCATTTTGTGAACGTGTCCAAGTGAGAACAGTTTCTGTCTGAGAACAAGAATGATGTACAAGAAAAGTACAAATGAGAAAGGAGAAAATATTGTATTTCATGTATTAGCAAGGCAGAGGAAGTGAAGAAGGATGTGATTCATGTGAGACTGCAAACAGACGGACAGAAAGAACAAAAAGGTTCCAGTGTAAGATGATTTGCACAACTCTAATTATTTAAAGATAGAACGAAAAAGGATCGGCTCTTAAAAGTATTTTTAACTGATAAACAAGTTAAGCAGCAGCTCCATATAAGATTTTTGGCAGCTGTGGCAGCTTAAGGGTTTTGCATGTACCTCTGACCACTCCTGCAAGCTCACAAATTGCAGCAGGCTGTGCTCTCATCTCCACTAACAGTAAACTAGAGTTTACAAAATGAAATAATCCTGTTCCTAAGGCAGATCCACACATGCCAGCACAACTCATGATACTCACTGCCAACTCTGGCCTGAGCACCACAGGAACTCTTTTAAGCTGGAACAACCAAAGAAATGCAACATGAAACTATGACAGCCAATATGTGACTGCAAACTAGAGCCTGAGTGCACAGAAGAAAGTGGATGAAACTTGATCAATTATTCAGAACACAAAGAAACCAAACCCCTTCAGAAAACATCTTCAATTAGCTTAAAGGAATTCCCAGCTATAGCACGAGCTGTACTGTGCTCCTTTACATTCCAGAAA